ACAATCACCTTTTCAGACCCAGGTCTGCCAAAGCACCCGCTCCCTCAAGCTCCCTCCCCTTCCCCAAAATCCACCTCCCAAAGCAGCAAGGCGACAAGAACCCCTTCGCAAGAGACAGCTTTAAGTGCCAAGAAACTTTCCCCCCCTCCCAAGAACCACAAACAAATTAACTGTTGTACAAGGGAACCACCCTGCTGATGCCCTGCCTGCAGATGGGGCACTTTTTGGGCTCGGGGAGAGCCTGGTAGCACTCGTGGCAGGAGCAGACGTGGCCGCACTCCAGGAAGACGCAGGATTTGGTGCTGCTCAGGCAGACCACGCAGGCATTTTTGAGGGTGTCCCCGCCCTCAGCGTTCATCAGGCGCTCCTGGGCCTGCCGGAATTCCTCCTGCATCTGCTTGAGGTGCTGCCTCTCCCGGTGGTGCCGGTACTGCTTCCGCAGGAGGAAGAAGAGGACGGCGCAGGTGGCGGCACCGAAAACCACGGTCAGGATTTTCCAGAAGCGGGCACTGGACTCCTGTTTCTGCAGCAGGGAGTCGAAATCCACGGCGCTCAGGTAGTAGGGCATGCCCTGCTTTGGCGGCTGCAGCTTGATGGTGGCGTTGTCCAGCACCAGCTCTCCCACCCCGGTCAGCGCCGTGCCCACCTTCAGCATCTGCTCCGTCTCCTGGATGCCCTTGGGGCGCTCCCCGCTGATGTAGTGGCCGATGACGTCGGTGAAGGACTGGACAGAGGGGTGGAATTTCTCGTACACCGTCTCCAGGCTGAGCTCGGCTGCCTCCAGAGGCTTCACCACCCGCACGGTGACGCCGGCGCCGTCCTCAGCGGGCACCAGCTCGAAGGGGGTGGTGTTGGTTCTCTGGTGGATGATCTTCTCGTAGTCATTCCTTAGGGAGAAGGGGGGAAAGTGAACCTGCTTCCCCTCACCCCAAGGGACGACTGGGTTTTGGGGACTGACAGCTGCGGACTGACTCCGCCTTAAGCAGAGTTTATTTGATGGGGCACCTTCCCCCTCGTAGCACTGTCCAGTGTGCACGAGGTCCTCCCACCCTCACGGAGCTCCTACAAGTAGTGTGGGCTCCCACCATCACTGGGGGAGGGTTGTGTCCCACCTAATCCCCTCCCTGTGGCGTTCCCAGCTGTCACAAACCGCCCTGTGAGGAGAAGCACCACCTGTCACATGCCCCAGCTTGATAGGTGTTATCAAGTGGCTCATCAAAGAGCATCACCAAGCTCTTGTTTCAACAGCTCTGGTGGGCCAGGTAGCTCTGGGACCTTCCTCAGGTCCCCTGGGTGCAGAGTCACCCAAATCCAACTGATTCCTGCTCTGAAAGTGGGGTTTTTTGGGAAATACCATCCTCCATAACAAGATGGGGCTGATCAATGCTCTGCCCACGTTGGGTTACTCAATGTGCTCTTCTCTTAAGACCCTCCATGAGCTCTGAAAGCCCTAAAAATTAGCCAAACATGCCCTGTTTTGGCAGCTGTCACTGGGGGGGCCACTGTGGGGTCCAGCTCTGAGGCACCTGGTCACTCTGGCCACACCTGAGGCCATTTCAGGGTGTCAGACCCCCAGAGGGCACCTCAGGTGGGCTGGGAGGAGACCATTTGTGGGCACCAGGCACGTACCAGAGGTGAGTGGTTCTGTTCCACACCATCTTGTGCTCCTGCAGCGTCAGCCTCTGAACCACCCCCTTGCAGTTCTCCACAAACTGGCTGCTCAGGGTCTCCTTCACCGACCTCACCACACCTGGAAGGGAAATCCCAGGGGCAAGTGAGTGGCTTGTTAAAACAAACGAAAAAAGAGGGACTTTGGAGAAGGGCCTGGAGTGACAAGACACAGGGAATGGCTTTCCACTGCCAGAGAGCATGGTTAGATGGGATAGTGGGAAGGAACCCTTCCCTGTGAGGGTGGGGAAGCTCTGGCACAGGCTGCCCAGAGAAGCTGTGGCTGCCCCATCCCTGGAAGTGTCCAAGGCCAAGTTGGAGCAACCTGGGCTAGTGGAAGGTGTCTTTGCCCACGGCAGGGGGTAGAACTGGATGAGCTTTAAGGTCTCTTCCAACCCAAACCATTCCACAATTGTCAGACGGGGTAGAAGGGCTGCGAGCCCGTGTTTTGCCTGACAGGAGTCAGTGGCCACTTGTCGAGGGAAAGATGAACTCATGGGCACAGAACGAGGGGCTAGGGATGAAATCCCCAAAGTGAGGAGCAGCTGCGGGGCGGGGAAGGGGAGGATTGTGCCCCCGCCCCTTATTTGGGGCTCCGCTTCAGGCCCTGCCCCTACCTTCTATAACCGCATAGGGCACGCAGCGCCCGGGAGCCTCCAGCAGCACCGACCGCAGATCTCCGTCCAGCTGGACCCTCCTGGCGCTCTGCGGGGAGCAAACAGAGGCCGCGGCTCAGCCGGTGCGACCAGGCCGCGGCCTACGGGCCGGGCCCGTGCGCTCCCTCGCCGCACCCCTCGCACCCACCTCGAGCCCGCGGGCCACGCGGGCCTTCTGCCGGTACACGGAGTAGAGCAGGGCGGTGATGGCAGTGCTGGCGGCCAACAGCGCGGCCTGTGCGGCCGAGGGCCGCCCGCTGCCCTCCATAGCCTCCGGGCCCCGCGTTACCACGGCAACCACCGGCGCGCGGTGATGACGTCAGGAGCGGCGCTCTAGCAGCGGCGGCGCTGCCATAGAGACGCGCGGTCCGCCAAGGCCGGGCGGGGGGCGCAGGGACCTCCCAGAGCTCTGTTGAGGGGACGGGGGAGCACAAAATACCCCCCCACAGGGTATATGTGGGGGAGGCGGGTCAGATCCTGGCCCCATGCGGCTTCAGGGGGCTAAACCCCAGCCTTAGGGATTTGTGGGGGTCGGGGTGGGACCCACCCCCCCCAGGGTTTTTGGGGGAGACATCAAGGTCCAGCGCACAAGATCCTAAAAAGGGATTATTTCAAATCGCAGCCATCTTTTAGGATCTTGATAGCTGGACCCAAATCCTGACACCCCCAGGGTGCTGGGGGGAGCATCCCTAGCGCCCCCCGTCCTTCCCCATCCCACCCCGGGGGTCTTGGGGGGACATCAATCCCCAGCCCCACAATCCTAAAGGGGGGATTAGCCCAAATGCTATTCATCCCTTAGGATTTTGGTAGCTGGCTCCAAATCCTGACACTCCCAGGGTGCTGGGGGGGACCACCCTCACAGTGCTTTGGTGATGAGGGGTAGCCCAAATCCCACCACCCTACAAAACTTAGGGGCGGGTCAGACCAAAGTGTGTCCCCCCTGGGGTATGCCCCCAAATTCCAGCCCTATAGCACCTTGAGGGGGGGTTATGCCCCATCACTGGGCTGTGGGGCACCAGCACCCCGTGAACTCCCCCAGAGCAAGGGCTCAGCCTCAGGATGCACCCCCAGCCCTATTTTGCAAGGTCCTTCTCCCCCATCCTATGCAGGGCCACGTAAGGGTGGCAGGTCCCTGCCAGCCTTGTTGGCGGGGGGGGGGGCACACAAGACCCTTCCCTGCCCCACCTATCTCCTTTCCATTGCTTATTCTGAGGAAGCAGTAAAAGGGGAAGAAAAAGAAAAAAACAGCAATTTTCGGTAAATCGTTGGTCTTCGGAGCCTTGGCGCTGATTTTGGGGTGGGCATGGGGGGGGCCGCAGGCAAGGCCATGGTTTCCAGTGGGGGTCCAAGGGGCCAAACCCCCCTCCCAGCTGCCTGACGCAGGCGACACAGCCGCCCCCCCAGCTCTATATTTAAAAAATCGAGTTGCCATGGCTACGCAGAGCAGCTCTCCCCAGCCCTCGGTTCCGCAGGGAGGGTGCAGAAAGCCCCTCCTCGGCTTCCTTTTCGGGGGGTAAATTCAATATAAACCCCTCCAAAATCGCCTCGGTGCCGAGCTTAACTCTTCCTCTGCCGTTCTCCAGCGTCCGGGCAAGACACAGGCGCCGTCACACCGCAGAAAACACACATTAATTTTATTATTATTATTATTATAATTATTATTATTATGGCCACTGCAGAGGAGGAGGCACGAGAGCAGGTTCATGTGCAGGGCTGAAGGGGTGCAAACCCACACCCGCCCCACAGCGTGTCTTCCTTGTAAGGGAGCCGCCGTCTTGTCCGGATTCACCCCCCGAGGAGCGTCCCAACACCGGCCTGGGGGCGCGGGGATGGCCCCCGACCCCTGAACCGGGGGTCTCAGCACAGCGGGTGCCGGGGGCCGCGCAGGCTGCACCCCCTCATGTCGCTGGCCAGCCGCAGCACGGCAGCTCTGCCGGGGTCCCCCAGAGGCGCCCCGGGGCCGAAGGCCTCGTCCTCGTCCTCCTCCAGGATGGAGCTGAGGCGCGGGGCGCAGCGGGCCCTCTCGGCGGGCGGGCGGTAGGGACACTTGGTGTTGAGCAGCCGCCGCAGGGGCACCAAGGGCACGATGGCGTCGCCCAGGAGCTGCTGCTGGACGTGGCGGAAATCGCTCTGCCTCTTGAGCCGCTTGAACTCGTTGAAGGCCGAGGCCGAGGTCTGGTAGAGCAGCAGGGCCATGGCGCGCGCCTTGTCGGCCTTGGAGACCAGCACGGCGTGGCAGCGCAGCACCACGGCCTTGTTCTTCACCTGGTGCCGGTACACCCAGGCGAACACCTTGGGGTGCCGGCGGTCGGCGGCGCAGTAGGTGATGCGGTGCAGCAGGTACGCGTGGCCCGGCCGCCGCGCCCCCTTCTCGCTCGGGGTCATCCGGATGCCTTGCGGCCCCAGCGTCAGCTTCATCTTGGCCCCACCGGCGCCCGCCTCGCTCTTTGCCCAGATCTTGCCCACCGCCTCCTCGGTGCAGCCCTCGCCCTTGGCGTGCAGGGTCACGGCGTTGCCCAGGTACCGCACCGTGTACGTCGGGTCCTCCTTGTTGAGCTCCACTTTCTGGCGCTTCCCGCGGAAGACGCTGCCCAGCCGCTCCAAGGGACACTCGGGCAGAAGGTCCGGGCAGGAGCGCAGGAACCCGGCCAGCAGCGCCGCGTAGCTCAGCCCCGGCCCCAGGCTCTTGCCTTTGCACTTACGTTCATTTTCCACCAGCACGAACTTGCTCCGGCGCCACGGCAGCATCTCCGCTCCGGCCTCTCACGGCTCCGCTAATCCCGGATCAGAAACAGCCCACCCCCCCCCGCCACCCCAACCCGCAAAATCTGAACGCGGGGGTGTCCCCACACACACACACCCCGCCCAGAGGGTGCAGCCCCTACCCCGGGATGCGGCTGCCGTGTCCCCGATGCCGTGCGGTCCAGGGAGGATGCGGGGATGCTCGGCCGAGGAGCCGCCGCGCTCCGGCTGCCGCCTGCGCCTGATGCTGCTGCGGGAGCGGCTCTCCGTGGGCTGCTCCACCTCCCCGAGCACGCGGGGAGCCGCCGATGAACGTCCCCCACCGGCTCCTTGGATGCGCGCTCGCTCCCTGCTCCGGCAGGGATACAGAGGTGGGGGGAAAATAACACCCTCTCTTCACGCAGCAGCCATGCTCCTAAATGCCCAAATTCCCTGATTTCTAATCCCGGGGAGGACGATTTTAGGGAGGGTCAGATGATGGTTTCTGACCCTGGCATGATAAAATGGATTTTTTTCCCCCCATATCTGTCGCCGGGATTTGAGGATCCTGCAGGTTTGCTGGCATTTTTTTTCCTCCAAACCACCTCCCTTCGGCTTTTTGCCTGGTTTTCCCAAGCCAGCCAGACCTCCTTGCTGCTCCTCTTCCTTTTGGACTGAGCTGGCTTTTAACCTGTTGCTTTTATCTCTGGCCAAGGCCCCAGGACAACTTCCCTCCAGGGAATATGAAGTGTTATTTCCCCACAGTGCAGCCTGAGGGAGATTTTTGGGGAGCGCTGTGAGATTTCAGTCCTGCATCAGAATCTGAAGCTGCTCAGGATTCAGCTGCTTTGGCTCAAACCCTGATTTCCACGGTTTTTTTGCTATCTGGGGCTTCTTATAGATGCAGCAGGGAGACCCCCCCAGGCTTGGGGATGCTCCAGCTGCTTTGAGATGGAAAAATAATGGGGAGAAAGGAGGAGAAATTACACTGTGTACCCCACTTTTAGCCCATTTGGGGAGGTAAACCAGAGCAGGGTGTTGCAGGGAGCAGGAAGCCATTTCCCAGCAGCTTCCCAGATTTTCTACGGTTTGAGTGAAGCAAACACAACCTTAAAATAGCTGCTTTGCAGGCAGACAGCACCAGCCCTGCTCCTCTCACTGCCATGGCCTCGACAGCCTCGGAGGTTTTCACAGCCAAAATAATAAAAAATGTATGAATTTGTCTGTTTTTCAGCTTTTCTGCTGCAAACACGCGGTGTGGGGTTTGATCCCGGTGCAAGGATGGTTTTGGGGAGGTGGCAATTAGGGAATTAGTGCACATTAGCAAGGTTTCCATCCATGCCAGCCTCTATCCTTCATTACTTCTGCTGTCACCCTCACTGACAGAGGTAAGGACTCTTTAATTGCTCAGTGTTCATATTGACAGGGCAGGTTTAAACCCTTCCCAAAAGCTCTTTTATTTGTACATCCCACATTATTTAGTGAGGGGTCCCCCTGCTCTGATCTGCTCCCACAGTGTCTCCCCTCAGCTGCTCTGGGACTGGTTTTCCCTTTTTCTCCCTGTTTTTGGGGTAATGGAGATTGGAGTGGGGGCACAAGAGAATCTGTGGCTCATTTTATAGGGGGAAACAACCTGGATTTGCACTTTGAAAGCTGAGAAAAAGGATTGAGGGCTGTCAGTCCCTCCTCTCACTGCCTGTTGCCTTGACTGACTGCCCTTGCAAGTACCCGGCTCTCATCATTACATTCCAGAGTGAACAAGCACCCACACAGTGCGAGGAAAGTGGGTTTCCTGGTTATTCTCTGGACAATACAGATCCCAGCTTTGGTTTCTTGGGTTGCCTGTGGCAGTCTCACTGCCCCGTGCTCCCTTCTCAGCTCCCAGAGTTTCTATGCCAGCAGAAACCACTGCCAATTTGGATGCCGCTTCTCAGGAGTGACCCAGGACCAAGATTTGCTGGCATAACCTGCAGGTAAGGTCAAAATCCTCCCAAAATTCAGCAAACCGGACAAAAATCCCAGTGATACATCCCTGGGGGCTGTGACACCCGTCCTTGCAGATAGAAAGTGGGGCAGGAAGCTCCTCGGGCCAGGGGAAAACAGAGAAATCTTTAATTAAAAAGCAATTTGCTGATCACCCAGGAACCCTTTTACCCTGCCAGGGGCGATTCCCATGGAATCACCAGCAGACCTGAATTTGGGCTCCAGCATAAGGGCATCCCAAAAGGGGCTTTCACCACCTGTGTCTTCAGCCAGATTTCCCTGCTGCCTGTAGCTAAAAGTCCTGGGAAAATGTGATACATATAGATATTATTTTTAATGCTTTCAATCAAATTAATTTATGTCTTTTGATCTCACTGATCAGGAGCTGTTGTTCCTGCCCCCCACCCCCCCCGGAAAGACTTAATGACATTTTCCCCTGGAGTCACAGAACCAGTTTTGAACAGGGAAGGAAAAAATCTGCGAGACAGCAGCGGAAAAATGCTCTGCTGGGACAGGGAAAGGAGGAAGTAGAAAACAAACCCGGGGATGAGTTGGAAAAAGTGAGACAGCAGGCAGGGAGGGGATGTGGGACTCCCTGAGCGTGATGCTTTGGGGGCCAGGGCTGTCCCTAGGGATGCTTCCTGGGGTTCGGCTGTGCGCCGGGGCGTTATCCCGCAGTCCTGGCCAGCCTGGTTTCCAGGCAAGGAAATATTTAACTGCGGCGTCAGCGGGCAGGGCAGGCGGGTGCAGGCATGGAGGGCAGCGGGCAGCGCTCAGCCCCCGCTGTGCCCCCGGGCCAGCCCCAGGGGGACCGTCTCCAGCTCCTGCTGCGCCGCAGCCGGGAGGCCAAAAATTGTGCCTACTGCCCCTACAGCCGCTTCCCGGTGGGAGCTGCGCTGCTCACGGCGGGTGGGGAGATCTTCTCCGGTAAGTCGTGGCCCTAAGAGCCCACCCTGGGATTTTTGGGAGCCCCCAGCGACCTTTTGGAAGTGCACGGGGGTGTAGCGGGGTCATCCCGGGGTGTTGGTGTTGTGTGTCCTTCCCCCGCTGCCTCCTGGCAGCCGCCAGCCCGGAGCGAGCCAAAGATCGCGGCGGATGGGGAAGTACAGGAAATAAATAAGGGAAGCAGGGAAACTGGCTTTTCTTTGCAAATTCCCCTAAAAACAGCAACAATTAAAAAAAAATTCCCCGGTGGGGTTTGGGGTGGCTGGTGCTGGGGGGTTTCCCCACAGGGTGCAACGTGGAGAACGCCTGCTACAGCCTGGGGATGTGTGCTGAGCGAGCTGCCATCCAAAAAGCCATCTCGGAGGGGCACACCAGCTTCAAGGCCATGGCCATCGCCAGGTAAAGGTGCTCCGAGAGCTGGAACAGGGAAGGACGGGATGGGGGGATAGCAGGAAAACCTCCAGTGCACCCCATGGGCAGATTCTGCTGCAGCAGCCCCAGCGTTTGGGGGGGGAAAGAAAGTTTTTGCTTGGTTTTTTTGGAGGAATTAGGGGGGAAATCTGCTGTAGCTCCATATTTATTGGTGCATGAAGGTCTTCTGCAGGTGTTCCCCCCTCCTCTGACCTCAGGACTGAGCTTTGTGCCCTTCTCCTTTGGCAGTGACATGGGGGACTTCATCACACCCTGCGGCGCCTGCAGACAAGTGATGAGAGAGGTGACGGCTCTTGTGGGGGCTTTGTGTCTCACCCCCTGACCCCAGACACCACCCCCTGACCCCAGAGAAGATCACTTGACCCTAGACATCATCCCTTGGCCCCAGGCATCTCCCCCTAAAACACCTAGAGGTGCCAAGGAGGGTGCAATCCCCTGTCCCCAGCCCCAGGGCTGGCTCCAGGCTCCTCAAATTGCATTATCCACTGGAAAAGGGATATTCCTCCCTATTCCATGTGAGTGGGTGCTTGGTGGGAATCCATTAGCTCCCCCTTCCCAGGGGGTTTTGTTCCTCCAGGTGCAGAGTTTGGCCCTGGAGTCGTTGCTCCACCTCTGGCAAGCCTGAAAACAGAGGTTTTCCTGGAAAAGCTGAGATTCTCGCAGATCCCATCCCTCTCTCACTTCCCTCCTCCCCACAGGCACCCCAGCACCCACAGCCCGTTTTTGGGTGGTTAATATTTAGTGGTTTGTGGGGCTTGGCTTGAGGGTGCGATTCAGGAAGTTTAGAGGCATCGGGGCTCACCCTGGGGGGTAAAAACACAGGATCTGAGCCCAAAATATCCTCTAAGGGGGTGATGCTGATAAGCCAACCCAAAATCCATGCAATAGAGGGGGATGCTCCCCCTGAACCTAGAAATAAAGGATTACAGGGGTAATTTGGGGAAGAAGTGCAGGTTCTTCTCCCTTCTCCTTCTCCCTCATCAGGCTCTTCTCCCCACTCTTCTCCTCCAGTTTGGCACGGACTGGGATGTCTACCTGACCAAAGCAGATGGCACCTACATTGTCAAGAGGCTGGAGGAGCTGCTGCCACTCTCCTTTGGCCCTGAGGACCTGAAGAAGGTGTGACCAGCATGGCCACCACCATCCTTTGCCCCTGGGGCAGCACAGGAGGATGGTTTTCCCCAGTTTCCTCGGTGTGTAACTGGCTTTTTGGGGAAGACACAATTGGAAATGCATTTGTAGTGCTGTTCCTCTCATCTTCTGATTCAGTGTTGATTCACAGGCACTGGCTCCACCTCCCCCCGAGGAAACAACAAAATCGAATCACAGAAATTCCCTGTTATTAGTAAAAAAATGTCCAGATATCCCTGTAGCCAAGGAAAGAGTTGAGTTTGATGCATGGCTCAAGTTCGGGCTTGTTGATACAGAAACAACTCCTAAATAATGCAAAATCATTGCTTGGGAAAATTCTGGATTCTTCAGCTCTGAAGAGAGGTGAAAGCCAAAAGGAAAAGCTCCATCAGCCCCAGCAGCAATTAATGAGCCAGTCCAGATTAGGTGGATTGCTGGGATGGGATGGTTATTGCACTGAGCGTGTCCTTTGCTCGTTTCTCTCCAGCTTGTTTTCCTTGCTTTTGTTCCATTTATGGGGGAGAAGAGAATGAAGAATTTTTGATTGCTTCTGCAGAGTTTTGTGCCTCCAGAGTAGTGCCATTTGCTGATTGTACTATTGATTTAACTATGCACAATGACAAATGAATGTGTGATATTTCCCACCCAATGCTGGGTTGGGCATTTCAGCCCATGCCCAAGCCAAATAAAAGCTGTTCTGGTTTATCTCCTGCAGTAGCAAGTGATGGAACACAGGGAATGGGGTCCTTGGGCTGTCCTGCTGCCAGGCAGGGCCAAGGGGCAGTGGATGTGACATGGGAACATCATGAGGTTCAACCTTAGAGCCCCTTCATGTGCCTTAAAGGGGACTTACAATAAAGATATAATAAAGATGAGGGTGGACTTTTTAGCAGGTCTTTTAAAGGGATAGTGGTTTTAAACTAAAAGAGGGTTGATTTAGATGTGAGGAAGAAGCTTTTTACAATGAGGGTGGTTTGGCCCTGGCACAGGTTGCCCAGAGAAGCTGTGGCTGCCTCATCCCTGGAAGTGTCCAAGGCCAGGTTGGACAGGGCTTGGAGCAACCTGGGATAGTGGAAGGTGTCCCTGCCCGTGGCTGGGGGTGGGATGAGATGGGCTTTAAGGTCCCTCCCAACCCAACCCATTCCATGATCCTGTGATTCTGTGCTGTGCCCAGGTCAGTGCTGTGCCCTGCTCCATGCCCTGCCAAGCACAAGGCACACCCAGCTGTGCCCTGCTCTGTGCCCTGCATTGCACAGGGCTGTACCTTGCCTGCACTTTGCTCCTTGTCCTGCTCCCTGCCCTGCTCCATGTCCTGCTCCGTGTCCTGCTCCCTGCCCTGCTCCATGTCCTGCTCCGTGTCCTGCTCCCTGCCCTGCCCCATACTCCACTTCATGCCCCATTCCATGCCCCACTCAATGTCCTGCTTCATGCCCTCCCATTCTGTACCCTATTCCATGCCTCACTCCATGCCCTAATCCATGCCCCACTCCATACTCCATTCCCTGCCCTATTCCCTGTCCCATTCCCTGCCCCATCCCATGCCCTATTCCATGACCCACTCCATCCCACATTCCCTGCCCCATTCCCTGTCCCATTCCATGTCCCATTCCCTGCCCCATCCCATGCCCTATTCCATGACCCACTCCATCCCACATTCCCTGCCCCATTCCCTGTCCCATTCCATGTCCCAGTCCTTGCCCTATTCCATGCCCTATTCTATGCCTCCTTCCCTGCCCCAGTCCTTGTCCCATTCCATACCCCATTCCATGGCCCATTCCCTGTCCCACTCCATGCCCCACTCCATACCCCGTTCCATACCCCACTCCATGCCCCATTCTATGCCTCATTCCCTGTTCCATTCCATACCCCATTCCCTGCCCCATTCCCGCTTTCATTCCATACCCCATTCCCCATTCCATTCCATACCCCATTCCCTGCCCCATTCCCAGTTCCATTCCATACCCCATTCCCTGCCCCATTCCCGCTTTCATTCCATACCCCATTCCCTGTTCTATTCCATACCCCATTCTCTGCTCCATTCCCCGTTCCATTCCCTGCCCCATTCCCGGTTCCATTCCCTACCCCATTCCCTGCCCCATTCCAGGTTCCATTCCATACCCCATTCCCTGCCCCATTCCCCGTTCCATTCCATACCCCATTCCCCGCTCCATTCCCCGTTCCATTCCCTGCCCCATTCCCTATTCCATTCCATACCCCATTCCCTGCCCCATTCCCGGTTCCATTCCCTATTCCCTTTTCTTCCCATCCCCGTCCCGTGCCCTCTGTGGGCGTGGCCTAGCACTGCCCGTGGGCGTGGTCTCCCTCCCCATTGGTCCCACTCTCCCCTGTCCCCGCCCGCCGGCCCCGCCCCTCTGTCCCTCAGGCCGCCATGGCTGTCCGGCTGCTCCTGGCCCGGGCCCTGCGGCTGCTGCCGCGGTGCCGCCCGCCCTGCGCCCCCCGTGTCCACCCCCGCGCCGACCTCCGCACCGACCCCCGCGCCGACCCCTGCACCGGCCTCCGCGCCGCCCCGCCGGCCTCGCCATGGCGGCCGTGGCTGTCCTGGCTGCCGGCCGCCGGCCGCCTCCTCCTGCGCGGCCCTGCGGGCGGGCTGGCGGCCGTGGCGCGGCGGGGGCCCGGCGGGGCCTGCCTGGCGCTGGCTATGGCGCTGGGGCTGGTGGAGCCGCGCCTGGAGGAGCAGCGACGGGCCGAGGCGGCGTGCCGGCATATCCAGGTGGGGAGGGGGCGGCGGCGGCGCCCGCAGGCACGGGGATCCCGCTGGGGAGCCCTCCGTGAAGGGGGCACTGCTGGGGGAGCCCCTCAGACACCCCTCGTGAAGGGGATGGAGGGACCTTGTTTTAGGGAGACCCTCAGAAACGCATCGTGAAGGGCACAGAGGGTTCCTACTTTGAGGAGTCCCCCCAGGCACCCCCCATGAAGGGGATGGGGGTCCTTGCTTTGGGGAGCACCTTAGACACCCCTCATAAAGGCGAGGGGGGGATCCCGCTTTGGGGAGCCCCGCAGACACCCTCCATAAAGGGGAGGGGAGGGTCGCTGCAGTGGGGAGCACCCCACAAACACAGCTCTCCATCTTCCTTCAAGGAGGTTGGAGGGTGCAGCTGTGAGCAGCCCTCTGGTACATCCGCAAAGGTGGGAACTGCTGGGAGAAGCCCCACAGGCACCTCTTCCTTCCCCAGATTAGGGTCCTGGAGAAGCCTCTTGCTCAGCAGCCCCTCGACACCCCAAAGCAGGTACTGGTGGGTCATCACGGTGGGGAGCCCCTCACTCCCTCTGCCCCCACAAAGGGAGTGGGTCAGGGCCCTGCTGGTGGGGGTCTCGTGTCCCAGGCACTGGTGTTGACCCCCAGCTTTATCACCTCTCCCCGAGACAGACGGGGACCCCACAGTGCTGGGCCAGGCTGTGCTGGCAGGGCTCTGGTGACGGACGGTGCTGAACATATTTCCTGGATAAAAATAGACCTTTGGTGCCCAGAGCCACCTGTCACTTGCTTCACTGGCTGGCAGACACATTCCTGTGGAGGTTCTGCCTTTCCCTGAAGTTTCTCAGGATGCTTTCTCTCCCCTGCTCTTACCAGGTAGTTCCATTTGCTGTCCCTGAATCTGTGTCCGTTTGTCCCATCCCTGAGATGGCCACCACCACGCTGGGGCTGTAGGGAAGTGCCCTGGTTTGTATCAGTACAGGTGACAATTGGGGCACCACCAGACCTGTGCTTGAACTCCAGAACAGCCTCCTGTGTGTTGTTTTCTCACATCTCTTGATTTCCTCCCCCAGCTCCCTCCTGTCACGGATTCGCTCTTACTTGACCTAACCAATCCTTGTACTTGGCTGCCAGAAAAGCTCAGGGCATTGTTTTTCCTGTTGTTGCTCTTATTTATGTTTTCTTGTAAATGCTGTTTGCCTGATTTATTTATGGAGAGTAAGAAAAATGTAATAGAGCATCTCTTTTTAGAAGTATTCAGTTAGACTTCTCTTTACACAATCACAGAATCGTGGAATGGTTTTGGATGAAGGGACCTTAAAGCTCTTCTCATTCTATCCCCTGCTGTGGGCAGGGACACCTTCCACTATTCCAGATTGCTCCAAGCCCCATCCCACCTGGCTTTGAACACTTCCAGGGATGGGGCAGCCACAGCTTCTCTGGGCAAAATATATTTATATTCTAGATTGGCAAATGAATCTCCCTCCCCATTCCTTTTTGTCCCTTAGAAAGGGCACCTTTGAAAAAGACTGTTTTAGGAGTAGATTGTTCCAGACAAAAATACATGGTCTGCAAATTCTTTTCCTCCTGGATACAGTGATTTGAGCCCAGTGGTTAGAGCCTGATTGTGGCTTTCAGGTTGACCAACCTAACAGGATGTGTAATACCACCTAAATACCTAATTCTCCCTCGCTGGGAAGTCTGGAATAACTGAGCCTGTTTTTCCGTTCTTATTCCTTTCAGACAGTGTTTGTTGGGAAGAACAAGCCTCAGAAAGATCCCCTGAGCTCCTTCCGCTGGCAGGGCTTCAAGCTGGAGGAATATCTCATCGGGCAGCCCATCGGGAAGGGCTGCAGTGCTGCCGTGTACGAAGCAGCCATTCCTTTCTCTCCCAGTCCTCGGGAATGTGTGGAGAGCAGCCATCTCCCAGCCGTGCAGCAGGATCATGGCTCAGCTTCCCAGGCAGCTGAAGAGGAGCCTGTGGTGAAACACCAACCGAAAGGGGCTTTTCCCTTAGCTATCAAAATGATGTGGAATATTTCGGTAAGGAGTCGGATATGAGTTCCTGTGTCTGTCGCTGGGGAATTCTGGCTGGAATGTTTAATACTGGAGTGTTGAAAGCGCTAATTATGGAGTGCAGGATGAGTGTGTCACAACAAAGCTGTTGGTAGGTGACACTGGAGATGTAGAGTGTTAGGAAAGAGTCCCATAGCGAGGTAATTAGCGTTCATCATCCTCTGGAACCTGCACTGAGAGCTCCTGCTGCTGGAGTTGTTGGGTATGGAGGGGATGTTTTGGGAAGAAAAGGTTTTCCGAAGCTGGCTCTGATGGAAAGGTCTAAGAATGGGAAAACCTGTGATTGAGGAATTGGTGTTCTGTCAGTGTCAGCACAGAGATGGGGTTTCTTCCTGAAGAGTCACAGGGTAGGCAGTAACCTTCCTGCTGGGTCCCCTTGCCATCGGGTGACTGGCTAAGATCTGCTCCAGAGTTTCTCACCTCATGTGACTGGTGATCCAACCCCTCCATGTGGCTATTCCACATTAAAAAAACCCCACAGGGCTTTCCCTGTTGAAGAGGTTTAGTGACACTTGATGTGACAAGTGGATATTCCAAGAGAGTCTTCCAAAATGCCAACATCTGGAATCCACTGGGCTCCAGAAGTACCCTGGCATTTAGCTGTGGGCTTTTCCACTTGGGTTTGGGAGTGTGAGGTGTAGCTCGGAGCACTGGCAGTCAAGGGTGCATTTGAAGTGACAAACAGGTTTCTTTCTGCAGGTAAAGGCCTTGCCACATCCCTTGGTGAAATCTTTAAGTAGTTAATTGCCTTCCCTGATTTTCAAGGGAGGGGAGTCCCTGGAATTTTGTCTCAGCGATCCAGCTCCAGACACAGTGCCAGCGTAAGGATTGTCTGCTTTTAGCCTGCAGTGGATGATTTTGGAGCTTAAACCAAGGTGGGGTGTGGTTGTTGTTGCAGGCTGGTTCCTCAAGT